TTTTTTTCATTCCTATGATGGAAATAATGATCTCTTAACTTAGTCATACCCCTTCTCTTTCTGGTGCACTTGATAATACAGTCTTTCCTGTATTTGAAGTTGTTCTCGTTTCCTCCACAACCACTGTAAGAAAACATCTGGCATCTCCTGGACTTGGGGTCGTATGCAAACCTCTTCACCTCATCGTGACATGTTCCTCTGTCCACAGGCCTGAAGCACATCTCTGTAAATCACAGCAACAGCCAAAAAAATGTCAACAGTTATTATCATTATCAATTAGTGTTTCCTTATAAGTTGGGACATAAAATGATTTCTAAAATTCTGTATTATCTTATCATCCTTTAAAAGATCATAGAGGGTGGAGCATGCTTGTTTGCCTTTCACAAACATCCTCTTAGCTTTTATCTCCACGTGGGTTCATGTCCTCACACATTAATGGATTTTTACCATAGCTGCAGGCTCTTAGACTTAAAGATTCTTAAGATTTGAAAAAGTGGAAGTTGTTATCATGGCCTCCCACAGGGCTGTGTAAGCTATCCTCTTTGATTTACTCTGTAGTTTTCTTCATGGTGAGAAACACAGCTGCAGACGGGTTGTAGGAAAGCTTTTTGGCAATCATAAGGGTTTTTACCACAACTGAAGGACATTATTTTTATTGATAAGTACTATGATTACAAAGATCAATATTTACCTCATTATTACTTCATTTGTTGGGGTCAACTACAACAATTAGTGCACTTAAGGAATGAATTAATTGCGACAAAGTTGTCAATAAATATTGACAGTGTTAATATGGATTTTATACAATAGTTACAAAGCATCAGACATTATGACTTTAAAGATATGATAACATCTATAAACTAAAAAGAAATCCCCTTTGCTCTTCAGTTTAAGATTTATTAAATAACACACCAAAAAAACACTACAATATAATATCTTACATATCCAAACATTTTATATCATATCTCAAACATAATCTGGTGTAAACATAATATGATGATAGATAGATAGATAGATAGATAGATTAGATTAGATTAGATAGAGTAGATAGATAGAAGATAGATAGATAGATAGATAGATTCTCAATTCTGGCCATATTAACAATATATTATGATAACTTTTTGTCAAACTGCACGAATAAGTTAAAAATGTTTGGGATTTACACTGCAAAACCATTTAGAATTCACTTCAGCAAACACAAAACTCCATAATAGAGAGACTCTGGTATGTTTTTGAAGCCCAAACCCAGAGCTGCCTTAGTTTAGTATTAGTATGTTCCTCTATTTAGACACATGGGTCCACATTAACGCTTTCTCCGACTCATACTAAAAGTGTACATCATCGTATAACCACAAGATGTCAGTCTTTGGTTTCAACACAAACATAAGCTTGGTAGAATTACACCATAATCGAGATGTATGGCAATTCTGTAATGCTCATTTTCCAGCTTTTGGGACTTTTTAAATGCTCCATTTTAATCTAGAAATTAAAAGCAACATTTCTATTACTGACATACATCTTTACCAAATATTAGCCTCTAAAGCTGCATAATTTAAGATCTAAATAATTAATTGTTTTACTTTCATACCAGAATTGTGAAAGATATTTTTGTCACATACTAGAGATGGAGGCAGGACCATTGAGGCTAACTCATCCTGAATCTTTCCCTCTCTATATTTTCTGACAAGAGTGAAATTGAATTCTTAAAATTATAACTCTTTGAAAGAGTTGAGGGAAGCAGGCCAGGTTCTGCCTGTGGTCTCCTGCTGCGGCACAAAGGAGCCTTGGAATACGACAACCATGATATATGCTCCCTCACTCCTAATACACAAAAAATTAGTGGAAATATGTGACAAATGGGCTGTGGGAAGGAGACACTGATGCTCTCTGTTTCTGGCCTTTGCCTTGCACAACAGAAGCAATTTTGCGAGCTGTCTACCATCTATGCATCACTGCACCTTGGCATTTTATTTTATTTTATTACAGTTAAGTTATTGGCAGCATACACTGGTTTAATAAATGAACTGGCTTTGCTTGCCATGAGGTTTAGGCAGAATTCGGAATTCAGCACTGAGTAGTTGCCACTCTGAGGACAGGGTGATTGATTTAATTATGCCTTACAACAGTTAATCTATCCCAAATGTCTGGTGCTCTGTGATGTCTGCAATGAATTAACTTCTTCTGGCTTTGTGCCTTGCTGTCTCCATTTATGAGATTTTTTCTCATCTTGGAAGTAAATCTAATATTAGTCTCAGTTTATTTTTCCTGACTTATTAAGATAAGGAAGATTAGTGTCACTGTGGCTAATTAAAAACTGTAATTAACCAAAGTGGGGTGCAATATTCTGAGAAATCTCAAAATTTCTAAGATTTAAGTTGTAAATTTATGAGAAAAATACAAAAATTTACGAGAACAAAAATTTGTGTTTTACTTTATTCTTAGATAATTTTTTCTCTAGAAAATGAACAACATTTTTTGGGAATATTATCCCCTCTTCGGCTCTGTAATATAGCCTATTCTTTGGAATGGCCCTAATAAGCTGCCGTATTAATATTTGATGTTGTTACTTAGACTAAAAAAGTTTAGATGGAAAGCAAGGCAAATTTCTTTCTCACATCATAATGCAGGACCGTTTGCGTAGTCCATGTTTTATTTCCCCAAGCAGCCAGTGTACCAACTGTACAGATGTTAACTTAGAAATTAACATACGCACTGACCGTGCGTGTGGTCGGTGTAGCAGCTCGGCCTCTAACTGATATCAGGACTTCAGTTTTCTGTTATTTTTCTCCAGTCTCTCCTGCTCTCTTTTCCTTTTGTTTCTGTACATTTATAAAGTGATGCTACATTCGTAAAGCCCTCAGGCAAGTTACATAATTTTGTTCTACAGTTGAAACATTTTTCAACTCACGCAGAGATGTTTTCACCTTATTTTGCACCTGGAAAATATGGGTTTATTCTCGCCCACTTGCGTCTTTCCATTGACGTTAAATGCAATCATGCCACAGCTCTTTCTGAACACACTTTAATTCGTATTTTCTTACCTTTCGATGCTCGATTAGTGTCATTCATTTGCACCCGAGCTTCACTGACAGTCATTTCCCCTGAGAAACAAACACATACATCAAGGGATTAGTCATTTTCAAGAGGCAAATACACTTAATTGTTTTCTTTCTCAGAGTGAAATGAAAGGAGACCCCTACCACTCTCATATCTGTGTGTAGTTATTCAAAATAGTAATAATATTACAGTCATATTAATTACTTTTTCCAGTAACTAGTAGTGTAACTAATTACTAATACATTTCAACAATAATATTACAGTTACCACCTCCCAAAAAAAATACTACTTTTGAATAAATGAGTAATGAGTAATAAATTACATTTTTAGGGTAACTAGCCCAACACTGGTGTTAAGTATAGAATGGGAGCTCTTAGCTAAACCTGGTTCAAAACTCTTACTACCAGCACCTACAAGGCTTACTAAGCAACATGATGTGTCTTGTTTATTTGAGCCATACACAAACAGAGATGTGAAAAAGACAATTTGTGGTTAAAGTTTTGTG